AAGTCTCAAACAACATGTTAATTATTAAAAGTCGTGACATTTATATGAATGAGCTGCAATGTCACTTTGTAGAAGGCTGGTTTATGAGCGAAGGCTTTCCAGCTCTTTCAACCCACACGTGATTCTTTTCAGTGTATTATAATATAACGCATACATCTAGGGTCGGCAGACTAAAGCACACGCGTCCGAAACTAACATCATTTATTATTTAAATCGATCTAATAAAGCACAGAAGTCAAATTCAGTTGTTTCAACTTAAGTTACAGTGGCCTCTATTTCTGTTAGAGGGCATCGCTATTGTTAACTTTTCATTATTGCAATCATTATTATTAAAAAAAATTACAGAGAATAAACAATTGACATAAATGAATCGAGACTTTTTTTATACAAACGTATGTGAGCATTTGTACTCCATCTCACCTGATGGAAAGTGACGATGAGGTCGACAATGGAGCATGCATACCTAAATAACGTCTATTCACTCTCGCCTTGTAAAAGGTCATTCACTCTCATCTTCTTCTTCTTCTTAGTGTGCCGCTTCTCTACGAAGGTGAGCGATCATCATGGCTGTTCCCATTTTTAAAGCTGCCGCACGAAAGAGAGAGCATATGCTAAGGTGGAACCAGTCTATCAGATTATTCAACCACAACGTTTCCCTTCGACAACGCTTTCCTTGTATTTTTTCCTTGAAGTATTTTTTTTAGTTGAAGAATCCGGTATCTATTGCCCCTCATTCCGAGGCCAAAACACTGCAGCTTCCTTTCCTTTACAATTATGAGTATTTCCAACTTTTTTTTCTCATTCGACGAAGAACCTCAACATTGGTGACCTTTTGTACCCACGATATGCCAAGCACACGTCAGTACAGCCATATCTCAAAGGCCTCCAGTTTTGAGCATAAACGAGTTTTTATAACCATATTTCTGCCACCGAACAGTAATATGAGCAATACTGCGTTCCGGTTTTGAAGGTTAAGGCTGCTGGTGAAGTAACATGCTCATGGAACTTGTGAACTTATGACTCAGGGTGACGGGCGCCGTATTAGTGCCTCAGATCTTTGCGATTAAAATCTCTGAGTGGCACTGCAACTGTTATGGACAGGCGCGTCGTTTACCACCAGGCGAACGACCAGTTCGTCCCGCCGCTCCATATCATTAAAATAAAAGCACTTTTGACGTATGGTCACATATTTGACTTTATTATTATATCAAGGGTGCAATAAGATATTGTAATAATGTCAGTACAGAATACTAAAAAGTATGTCCTAAAAAGTCATTCATCCCTAGTTTGCCACCCTCAGGGGTTAAATATTTTAAATGGAATCACTACTCAAATACCCTCTTTCCAACAAAAAAAGAATCATCAACATCAAAAAAATACATGCAAAATAATTACAGTCGAAGAAATAAAGTCGAAAAGAGCGAAACAGTAAAACAAATGCTTGAAAACCTGAAGGACAATTGGCTCAACATTTTCAACTTTATAATAATACAACAACAATGTTTCTTGGTACATAAAAAAATTAAGCATGTTTTCACTCATTTACTAGTCTGCCGACCCTAGACATATGATATAATTATGCCTCTATTTAGTTCCCCACCTTGAATAAGTTACGGTTTACATAACCATACTGCCAGTGGAAAGGTAAAAAGACTAAAGTGCCGTATGAGGTACGTAACAACGAACATAAATTTAGTTTATATAATACTGTTCCACTGCTGTAATTGTGTTGCTGATGTAAATAAAAAAAACAGGAGCTTATTTCAAAATCATAGAACAACTCTTGCAAATAACTGTAGCGGGATTACTGAAGCGGTTTTTGTACTGCATTTTTAAGAATACTGACGATCTGTATAAAACTTAAATTATATAGCGACACTCCCAACCAACCCTTAAAAATACAAGAAGGGCACTATAACCTGTGCGTGCACAGGGACCTTCTAAGTTTTTTTTCATTATTAAATGGACTTGCTCTCGACCACTACCTAGCTCTGGAGCATAGATAGGATCTACGATGGAACGAGCTTGCCCAGAAAAGGCCTTTCTTTTTGATATGATTCTTGTATGAATTCGGAAATACAGACGCAGGCAGAGAATTCCATTCCTCGGCTGTGCGCATAATAAAAGATGATGAAAAGTGCTTGGTACGCCTGAAGGGAATATCAACCATGTAAGGATGATATCCGCCGTACGTGACGTCCGATGGTAAAAGGGGGCGGCCGGGATAAGCTCATGAGCACACTCACCGAAATATATTCTGTAAAAACCTGACAGACGGGCAACTTTGCGCCTGTAGGCTAAACTATGAACTTTAGATCGAGCTTATCGTCGCCAATAAGTTGTCTGGCTCTACGGTCAATTGAATCAAGCGCCTCAAGTTGATACTTCGCTGAGCCATCTCACAGGTGCCTGCAGTACTCCATACAAGATCGAACTTGTGATTTGTATAAAGTTAATAGCTGTCCAGGCGTGAAATATCGCTTAATCTTATTAAGGATACCCAGTTTTTTGGCTGCAATTTGTGCCTTACTTTCAATATAAGCGCCAAAGTTAAGGCTTGCACTTAATGTTATGCCAAGGAGGTTCTAACTTCGAAGGCCAGGTTCTGGCCCCAGGTCAGCCAGTGTACAGGGTTGTCACTGACTTCATCCGGTTCTCAAGAGGCTAGTGTCTCGTGTGGGCCGCCCCGGGTGCACGTACTGTACCCTCCCTATTTTCCAGATAGGTACCGGAGCTATAGTCACGCATTGAACAACTAAAGATTGCTAGCGCTAAGCCGTTGACTCTAAAGGCCACTGTAACTCTAAAAACTCTTAAAAATTCGTTCTCGATTTCCCTTTTCCATCAAAATTCTTATATCGGTTCGATTCGTCGTTAATAATAAAATAATATTGAAGTCCTTTTGGGACATTTTTTTAGTAGCAGTACAGCTCCTTGTGAAGAGGAGTTCGTCCAGGGATGTACTGCCTTATCTATTCCTACCGCCAAACAGTAATGTGCGCATTATTACATTCCGGTTTGGAAGAGTGCTGGTGAAATTACAGGCACATGAGACTTGTCAACTTATGTTTCATTGTGACGGACGCAGTGACCCGCAGACCTTTGCGATTTAAAGATCTGTGTCGCAATGCGGCTGTCTTAGATAGGCGTGTTGCTTACCACCAGGCGAACTTTTTAACTGCCTCCGTGGCCGAACGGTTACCATGCCGGACTGCCACGCAGAGGTCCTAGGTTCGATTCCCGGGCCGGGAGAAATATTTGTATGGCCTACATTTATTTATCTCGTGAGTTTGGGTGTAATTTGTGTTTGTCTATGTGTATGTCCATGGCACCTGCGACACAGGGTTTCCCTAGTGCGGGGCTATAAAAAAAAAAAATGACTTGTTCATCCCGTCGCTTGACTTCATAAGAAAAGTCTCGAAAGTTTTATTTTTCTCGGAATTTTGACGATCGCATCGAGTCTTGATTTATTTTCCCGCAACACAGAAATGCAATAAAACTAAAAACCCTAATATTGACGTTCATTATCAGGAAAAGTTTAAAACAACTTTCTTTTTTTTTTTAAATTAAGTGCGCATTTGGCCTCCATCTCACGTGATGGAAAGTGATGATGCCTATTCACGCTCGCCTTGAAAAGGTCCAAGTTATAGCGTTCGGGGAATACGTCCGCAGGCAGGGAATTCCACTCGCTAGCCGCTCGCCATATAAATGTGGAAGCGAAACGCTTCGTGTGAATCCGGGGAATATCCACAACATAGGGGTGGAATCCCAGCCCACGTCTAGTCCCCCGATGATGGAAAGGGGAAGGCGGAATCAAATTATGCAATTCCATCGCGCAGTGTCCGTGATGTATCCTGTAGAATACCGATAAGCAGCGAACTTACGGCGGTATTCAAGACCCAATCCCTTACTTGTTCAACATAATGGACAATAATCAAAATACATAATGAATCTCAAAACTATACAAAACAACACCCAATTAATAAACCAAGTGAAACATTTTCATATCGATGATTTTCAAATATACTGGCTCAAAACAAAATAATTCACATGAATGTTAACACAACTGCATTCATAATGAGCTAAATTTTATTGCGAAAAAAAGACCGAGCATTTTATTGGTTAAAATAAACAAGTGACAATACGGACTGGTGCATCATTCGTCGACTTTGGACATTTGCATACATACCAGTGTCCAATAATAATAATGTGCCATTGCCGGGAAATACCGTCTCTCCCATTTAAAAATTCAAAATTAATCTTTTAGGCCTTGGGAGAGGCGAAAGTCTAAAATAGATATAATAATAATAATAATTAAATACCGCCAGTTAAATATCGCAATACAAAGGAAGCCGCCGACTCCACACTTCTACAGAAGGAAGTCACAGCAAGTGCACCGGTCACGAGGCGCTGAGTCAGCGCACGTGTCCCGCTTTACCGGAATAGTGTAATTTTTACGTCGGACACTTTTGTTTCAAACATCGAACGATTGTCACCTATCTTTAGCAATTAATTTTGTTATAATTATGAATACAAAGATCGAACACTCAGAAAAAATTCGTTCGATCCGGCCGGATTTTTTCTGAGTGTTCGATCTTTGTATTAATAATTATAACAAACTAGTGGAGTAATTTCACAAAAAATAATTGAATATCAATTCAATAAAAATTTAAAATTAATTTTGTAATTTTAATTCTTTTAAATTAAATTATTCCTAAAAGTTTTTGGTTTTTTTTCGAACCTACGGCTGCAGTTATCTTAATTCGCCTCTCCCATTTTAAAATTCAAAATGTATCATTTAGGCCATGGAAGAGGCGACAGTCTAAAATAGATATATAAATCATAATGAACCATTTATTTTATTTAGTTTCATTATTCATTTATTTATTCAGGCCATAGCCCATAAGATAATGGTGTTAGCTACAAAAGAAAACCTTATAACTATGTTGTTATGATTGCAATGAATTTTGATATATTGTTAGAAAA